TTTCATCATCAACTTTTTTTCTTGGTTATCAAGTAACTAACAGTTCCTTGTAGTTGAACAAAACTACAGTGTGCAGCTGCAGTTATTACAGCATTTTCTCTGCTGTTAATAAAAAGTATTTTTGATACTTCTCTCCAAAAAGTATCACCGGAGCCCTGTTAACAGCGCAACGACAAAAGCAGTGCTACTAAAAAGCAAAAACTAAAGCAACTTAATTAACAACAAATTCAGCATTTTATTAATGCAAATAGCCAATTTTATTTTGCAGGTGACGATTTTACGAAATAATACCTTCAGCGAATGTAATAATTTCTTGTTTGGACATACAATTATTCAAAAACAAAAAAGTAAAAAAACTTTGTTTTTGAGTATTTTAGTGTTAGTTGTTCCGCTGCTAAAGTAAGACTATTATCGATGTGGTCGCTGTTGTATTCCTTTTCATTGAAACAAAGCACTTCAATATTTTCAAAGTCTTTGACTTTTTCAGTCCTTACGCGACATTTGACTAAAAATAAATTTATTTTGGTCTGTTATTTCGTTCGTCTCGCCTTTTTTTCAAGGTTTTTTCTGAAATTTTAAAACTGAGCATTTGACTAGTACGCAAACTGTTTGCTTGATGTTTGTAATTGGGGGTACATGTTGTTTGCGGTTAATAGGAAATTAATGGTTGTTACGTATGGACATCTGTTTTTTCTTTCCTCTATTTATATTAACTATTTCCACAAAAACCACAACTTTTTTTCTTTTTCTGTCATCTGTCACATTTTTCTTCAGCATAGTTTTTAACAACTGTTTAAAAAACTTGTTCAACTAATAAAACTGCTGAATGCCAACGCAGTTGGATCTACAGTCTAACGGCTGAGTTGAAATCAGATTTGGATTGATGTGTAAAGTACGCAGTTCATGGAAACAACAAAGCTTTTTTTTGTACCCTATATCTGTTTTTCAACTTTTTTCCACTTCTTTGAAAAGGAAAGAAGATGAAGATTTTAAGCTACCTTGACTGTTATAGTGGTACGCTGTAAACAGCTATAATAGGACCTGCTTGCAAGTGGAAAAAGCTGTTTTTTGGAGAGAAAGGAGTGGAGGAAAGGGTTGAGTAGGAAAAATAAATTAAATTAGTAGTGATTAATACTTATTCATTTGTTACACTTTTATTGGCTTTTTGAGATAATACTTATAAATTTAAGGTAATTTATGAGGTGCTTTAGATTGCTTTTCAATGCGTCTATTCACAAGGAATTGTTTGAAAATATATGATATAAACATATGTACAAAAAACTGCGGAATACTCGCCCAGTTGGATTTACAGCTAAACGGCCGAGCTAAAATTAAATTTGAGTCAATCTAAACGTTGCACAGTTTAGGCAAAAAGCAAAGTTTTGTTTATTTACTTATGCTTTAATTATTTTATAAGTTTTTTGAAAAAAAGAGATAAAAAATATAAAATTTCTGGTTAGTCTCTATGGTCAGAATAATGTAGAACAAATAGCAATAATACCTGGGAAAATTTGCTGCAAAATCAAAAAAGTTTTTTGTTTTTAGCGAGAATAGGAAAATGAATTATTGCTGACTAATATTTATTTATCTGTTGTATTCTAAATAATTTGTTGAAATAATATCAATATAACTAAGAGAAATTGAAAAGCGTGTTTTTCTGCTTTTTAATATGTATTTATGCATTCGTTAAACATTATTTGAAAATAAAGAATAAAATTAAAAAATTTTTTATGATTTATTACTAGACATTGAAGACTCTATTAAAATAATAATTGAACGTTTATTGGTAGTATTATAGCAAATAAATTTCTCTCTTTATAGACATTATTTAAGTGTACAAAAAAAAGATAGTTTTTTTTGCTATTAGATAATATTTTCTTATCACTGATTAAAATTTAATTAGGATTTAAAATAAATTCTTCTTGTGTAAAGTCATAAAACACTTAAATTTTGCAAATAAAAAATTACTGGTAACGCAGCAGTAGTAAGATGACGTTCTGACAATAAATCACAGTTCAAAGCCACGAACTGTTGATGAACACACATTGCTCAATCTGTTTCGTTAACGGTGTCTTACTGCTGGTTATTTCCTAGAAACTTCTTAATACTTGATCAACAACAATTTCACTGATGTCTTCGCTTTAAATTCCATTCTAGTTAGTCGTTGCATGACGTTTGGTTTAGGAATTGCACGTTGTCGATGTCAAAACCGACAGAAATTGGCTATATAAAACTGGAGGGGAGACCGATACCGCGTTTCACTCATTGCAACCGATTGGTCCCTTGAGGTTCTCGTTCTGTGTCTGTGTCCGAGTCCGACTCTGTGTCAGCGTTTGAATGTTTGTGCGTTCTTAACTAAAAAGGAACAAGAAGCAACTGAAGATGGAGGGATTGACAGCCACTTTGGCGGTAGTAATTTAACTGTTTTTTTTTTCTAAAACATTTGAACATAAATTGAGCGAATAATTTAGAAAACAAGATCAGTCTGGTTGTAGGATGAGTTTGTCTGTTCCGCTTTTTGATTTCGTTTTCCCTTTTAAGCTCGGTGATAGTCATCTTCAATTTTTTTTTCTGGTTTTCTTCAGTAGTGGTGTTTTTTTTTTTCAGTAGTAGTTTTTCAGTAGTTTTTTT